CCATCTTACAGGGGCGTAGTAGGTAAGAAATGATTCAGTGACAGTGGGTACTGGAAAGGAAACTCAGTGAATTTTTCAGGACCTATATATTTGGATCATAGAAGAATTGATGTATTTGAATTATGGTGTTGGAGAAGAATATTAAAAGTATCAAGGACTGCCAGAAGAACAAGTAAGTATATGTTGTCAGAAGTACAACCAGAATGCTCCCTAGAAGCCAGGATAGTGACAGTTCATCTCTCATACACTGGACATATTATTAGGAGGGACCAGTCCCTACAGAAGGGTTTCATGTTCGTTAAAGTGGAGGATCAGCGAAAAAGAGGAAGTCCCCCAACAAGATGGATTGGCACAGTGGCAGCAGCAATGGGCTCAAGTGTAACAACAACTGTGAGAATGCCGAAGGACTGGGCATAGCGTCACTGTGAGTCGGAAGCAACTCAATGGTGCCAAAGAATAACAAGAGATATTTGGAGTCTTTTGAGTCTACCAAAATAACCCCATTCAAATTCAGTTTCATCTTTTCCTATCAATGGTTAATCTTCACCTAGGAGACCGAACAAGGCTGTGAATTCAGCTTACACTGGAATTCAGTAACCTGCAGTATCTGGTCCTTGGCTACATAACCCATATAGCTATAAGAATTGGTAAGTACCATCAAGTCGGTTGCAACTCATAGCGACCCTGGATAGGTTTCCAAGGAGCGGCTTAAAAAGAGGAAGCAGAAAACATGAACTACTCATGATTGTGACCTGAGATTAAAAATTAAAACTATGAGCTCGTCACATTTTCTTTCCTTAAGCCATTCCTTATTGCTTAAATGTCACAATGTACCAGAGCTATGAAAACAGTTCCTTTATTGCTTTTTTTTCAGCTTCTGCAATAAATTACTAATTCAGCCCCGGACTGAAAGTAGAAACGATTACAACAATATTGTACCTGACTAGAGTGATAATCATATCTCTAGAGTCTAGGTATATTTTGAATGTATCCTAGGCATATGGTTCCCATTGTATTGGGCCAATCACAGCATCTTGGGACCGGAGGTCAAACCAATTTCCCAGAGTCCTTGGGGTAGGAGAGATGCCACAGCCATTGTAGCTCAGAGGACAAGATGACCCTTGTCTCAGCAGCCCACCTGTCTGTACATTTTCCAGTCTTGCAGGAAGACCCCTCAAGGAGGGGCCAGCTCATTTACATAATGAAAACTGGCAGACTACAATGTGACATCTTCACGGATGGAATACCCTTTAAAGAAAAAGCACCCATAAATGCTTATGGTCAAGAAGCACAGTGTATTTCAATATGAAGCAGTTTAATCATTACATTCAATTTAAACATCCTGAAATTAAGTTTCCCAGGTGATGTGTGATGGTTTTTTGTTTTGTTTTTTTTTGTTACAATTCACTGGGCCCATTTGCCTTTATCTTCTCAAGTGCTTAACACACCAACATGTTTTATGGAAATTACAAATTTGCCTATGTCCTCAGTCAGGCTCCTTTATGTCTACTATAATCTATTTCTTTATGCTACAAAAACTCATGCATTTCTCACCTACAATCACTCTGAAGGCCAGAGTACAATTGTAAAGTCTTGAAGTTCCAAACTGGAACATGATGTTTACTGTGTGGCTCCAATTCTGTGCAAAAATTTCCATCATTTCCCACTCCCCCAAAACAAAGACCCATCAGCACCCTCATCAAGCAGGTCTGTCATAACTACTACTTTCAGAGTTGGAACAAAATGCATCCAAATTTCCTCTGACCCAGGACGACTTCTAGAGGGTGGATTTAAAGTAGCTGCATCTAAAGATTTTTTAATTGTGGCTTGTACAAACACAGTGAGAACAAAGCACCGTTTCTTCAGAAAGGTAGGTGCCAACCACTTAGTTTCCTCAGGGCTGTTCCCTGAGCTCAGCTGGGAAGATAAACGTTCTCATCCTTGGCTCACTAAGTCATTTAAAGAAGTCCCTCCTCACAGCATTAGCAGACACACCAACTAAGCACTGTGTGTAAAGATTTAGTGATTGACAAGCAAGTAAGGCAGGAACCCTGACAGTCACTTTTTCCTCACTATGTAAAATTTATATGCAAATTATAGAGTTAAGAAAACAGAAATCACCACATAGGGAAAGTAATAGTAATAACTTGATATATTTACTTTTATTTCAGCTTCTAGTTGAAAGACTGACCATTCTAAGCCAGCATCAGATCCATAGGAGAAAGAGGTGGCAGTCTGCTTCCATAAAGTTTGAAGCCTTGAAAACCCTTGTGGGGCAGTTCTACTCTGTCCAATATGGTCAATACGAGTCAGACTTGAAGGCAACAGGTGGAAACACAATCGCTGTTGTTGCTAAGTGCTAAGTGCTGGTGTTGCTAAAGTTGGCTGCAACTCATAGTGACCCCGTATAGGGTTTCCAAGCAGCAGCTGGTGAGTTTGAACTGCTGACTTTGCATTATCCTACAGCCCACACCAAGACTCCAAAATATGAATATATGTGTATAAAATTGGAGTTTTATGGCTCCATTTAAAAAATGCTACTACTTTTTTTGCTATGGGGTTAAATATATATATATATATAACATTTGTTCCATTGCAACATTTTTTACATGTACAATTCAGTGACATTAATTATATTCATCATATATACAACCATTACCACTATCCATTTTTACAAATTTCCATCACCTTTAACAGAAGCTCAGTGACCCTAAGCAGTGGATCATTCATTCTTTTCTTTCCCTTTGACCCTAGCCAACCACTAATAATCTCTGGTCTCTACCCATTTGTCTATTCTAGATATCTCATATAAATGGAATCATACTCTCTATCTGCCTTTTATAACTGAGCTATTTCACTCAGCATAATGTTCTTTTTTTTTAGTTTCTCATGAGCTGCTTATTGATTTACATACCAGTGTTTAAACGTATTTATTGAACATCAAATTGGAACTCTCAGAAATGTTATAGTCTGGTCTCTAAGTCCCAATTTCTTATAAAAAGTAGCATTTTAAATATATAGGATTCTATTTTATTTAAATTTTTATTTTGTTGTTGAGAATACACACAGCAAAACAGACATGTATTCAATAGCTTCTATATGTACAATTCAATGGTGGTGGTGGTGGTTATGTGCTGTGGAGTCGGTTCTGACTCATAGCGACCCTGTACAGGGTTTCCGAGGCTAGAAATCTTTACAGGAGCAGAAAGCCTCATCTTTCTCAAGCAGAATAGCTGGTAGTTTCAAACTGCTGACCTTGCGGTTCGCAGCCCCATTCGTAACCACTATGCTACCAGAGCACCTTACAATTCAATGACACTGATTAAATTATTCAAGTTGTGCAACCATTTTCCCCTCACTTTTCTGAGTTGTTCTTCCCCAATTAACTTACTTAACAGTTTCCTAAGGAGTCCCAGTGTGGCACCGTGTGTTCATGCATCAGACTGCAAAGCCATTTGAACTGCAAGGTCAGTGGTTCAAGCTCACCAGCTGCTCCTCGGAAACCCTATACAGGGTCACTATGGGTTGGAATCAATTCGACGGCACTTTACAACAACAATAAGGTTCCTATCTAATCATTCAAATTGCTGTTGTCAATGTGATCCCATGTGAACCACTTCAAAAAGAATATAATGCTCAAGGCAGGCATTTTTACTAGTTAAGCTAAACTATTGTTTGGTTTTAAGAAGACTTCCGGGGACATTTTTAGTTTGAAGTTTAAGTATTATCTCGGGGTAATAGTTTTGAGTTCAACCAACCTTCATGGCTCCAAGTGTCTAGAGTCTACGAGAAATCAAAATTCTGCTCTGATTTTCCCCCTTTCGATCAAGTTTCAATTATGAAATCAAAATTTTCAGTAATGGCAGCTAGGCACCAACCAGTGCTTCTAGTCCCATGACAAAGGAGACATAGCATAACGTTTTCAAGGTTCAACCATATTGAAGCATGTCAGAATGTAACACACAGTGGAATATTATTCATTGTATGTATGCATCACATTTTGTTTACCCATCTATCTGTTAATAGACAGTTAGGGGGTTTCCACCTTTTGGCTATTGTGAATAGTGCTGCAGAGAACATTGGTAGACAAGTATCTGTTTGTATGTTGTTGTTATTAACTGCCATTGAGTTGGATCCGACTCATACTGAATAGGGTTTCCGAGGAGCATCTAGTGGATTTGAACCACTGACTTGTGGTTACTAGTACAGTGCTTATCCTATAGCACCACAACAGGACTCCATCTGCTTGTGTACCTGCTTTCAATTCTTTTAGGACTATACTGAGGTGTGGAATTGATGGATCATGTAGTAAAATTCATGTTTAATGTTTTGAAGAAACACCAAGTATTATCCAAAGCATCTGACAGCCACTTTTATGGAAAGAACATTAAAGCAGAGACTCTATCCCTCTGCTAAGTGTGACTTCAAAGTGGTCCTTTATTATTTTCAAGTTCAGTTTTTTCATTAGTAAAATGATAAATCACATCTTTCCTCCTATCTCAGCAGTCAAGCAAGAGGATCAGCCGGTGTTGGTAAAGTCACTTGAGGTAAGCTCAAAGTACTATTAAGATTATCTAGAATCTTACATAATGCTTAGTTATAGGCCACATCCACACATCTCTCAAATCATCAGAGGAAGTAGACAGGTTACAAATCTAGAGCAGATCTACTAAACAAAAGGGAGGGGTGCTGAACTCCAAAACAAAGGGAAACTCCATTTAGAACTGGTTCATAAAGCATTTCACTCAACTCCAGAAATACTATACTCTTATCAGTAAATGGGTCTATTCTCACCCTGTCTATCTCCCAGGGTTATTCTGAGGATCCAATTCAGAAGAGGGTAACTGATGTAAATTTCATGGTTAACAAAGCAAAGAGAAAGTATTTTATAAACTGTAAAACTATAATTACAACTAGAACATCATTATAAGTTTGGAAGGACTACTTCAACTCTAAGACCCATGTTAAAGTCCAGAGGGACAAAGACAAAGCCTTTTTACCTGATGGTCGTGCCTTGCAAACGGTCTATCTTCTTATTGAGTTCTGCGATGATGCTGTGGAGTTCTGTGATGCGCTCCTCATACCGAAGCGTGGTTCGCTCCTGGACATCCTCATGCTCTCTCATGAGGTGGGACTGCTCACACTAGGATCCAGAGAACAGGAATGTCAATGAGTTGATGACAGATGAGGGACTCTAAGCCTTATGAACTCAACACATCACAGCCTCAACATAAGGTATTCCCAAAATAAGATACTAGCTTGCTTACTTGCCTGGCAATGTAATAATCACATCAATAGCTCAATTTTACACTTCTCCTGATAGGTATCTTAGTTTTTGTCTTTCCTATACTCATTCTCTCTTTGGGAAAACATTGCACATACTTTTAATGGAGTTATCCAAGGGCCCTCTTTTCCTGTGGGCTAAGAAGTGGGTAACTGGACCAAATTGGACTCAGCCTGGTGTGGTGCTGTGGGTTAAGGTGCTGGACTACAAGGTCGGTTTGAATTCCAAGTTTGGTGGTTCAAATTCACAAGCCACTCCTTGGAACCCTATACAGGGTCTCTCTTGAGCAGGAACTGACTCGATGGCACTTAACAACAGCAACAATCTTCTTTTGAGAACCAAGTCGTAAGTGAATGGACCTGAAGTTACTTGGAGAAGATTCTCTTAACTGAGTGTCCTGAAGAGACATCTTCTGCTCCTATGTCCTATAGGAGGATATAGAATATATCCTTTCCAGAATTCCTTTATTTCTATTCAGTGTCCCTTTTTAGCAATTCATTCTGTTTTTTGCAGATTTTGTTAGGGTATTTGTTGGCTACTTTTTGACTAAATAATCTTAAATGTTATAACCTTGTTACTTATCTGGTTGTGTTAACTGCAGTCCTAAAGCTTTCCAATACCCTTTCCTACCAGACTATGAACTCCCTGAAGGCAGGAACTAGGTGTTTCCACTATTTAGCCCTACCAGTTGCCACTGAGTCAGTTCTGACTCATGAAGGCCCCATGCATAATAGAAGTGTGCGCCATAGGGTTTTCAATGGTTGAATTTTGTCAGAAGCAGACTGCCAGGTCTTTCTTCTTAGGTGTCTCCCCAACAAAACCCAAACCCATTGCCATAGAGTTAATTCCATCTCACAACTACCCTTAAGGTAGAGTAGAACTGCCACAGGATTTCCAAGCCTGTAATCTGTACAGAAGCAGACTTCTACCTCTTTCTCTCTCAAAGTGGCTGGTGTGTTCGAACAGCTGAACTTTCAGTTAGCAGCCAAGTGATCAAACACTGCACCATTAAAGCCTCTAAGATTCCTTTGTTGGTGTTGGGTGCCATCGAGTTGGTTCTTACTCATAGCAACCCTATGCACAATGGAACGTAACACTGCCTGGTGCTGAGCCATCCTCACAATCATTGTTATGTTTGAGCCTCTCGATGGACTCAAACTTCCAACTTTCAGTTAGTAGCCTAAGCCTGAAACACCTGGTTTACTGTGGAAAACATGAATATAAGTGCTTGGAATGAATACACTGCAGTCTTCACTGTCATGATGGCCACTTTGCAGAAATAACAAGAGGCTGAGGAGCTTTCCTTATTCAGTGTCTGATGGACTAAGAGGCAACAGATGCTATAAAAAAATATTTTTTTTAACCAGCGTTTATGTTTCCTTTCTCCAACCCCCAACCCCTACCAGTCATGTGCAGTTAATCTAATTTACATAATAATAGAACGCTCCTCACGGATGAAATGAGTAGTCCAGTTGATATCACTGTCTACTACATTCAGCTGCAATTAATTTCCTGTCTAGCAGAGGAATTTTAATTTCATTTTCAACAAGGTTTTCCTAATGCCAAGAACCGTAAGTACTTGCTGGCTCTGCAGGTTTGCACTTTCAGCTGGTGTCAGGCTACTTCCAATGTCCTCCCCCACTTCCCACAGTGTAGCACAGTAGCCACTGGGCAGGGAGAAAAAGCCTTCAAAGAATAGACCACCAGCGTCACTCAGGAGTGAAAAAGAAGTACTCAGAAAAGGAGTCTGATAAATGTTGTCAGCATAAATCATGGCAAAGACCACACCTATGAACATGACCCTCAGCAAAAGCTTTGCTGTTGGTGTTGGTAAGTGACCTCAAGTTGTTTCCAATACATAACAATCCTGTATAGGGTTTCCAAGGAGCAGCTGGTGGGTTTGAACTGATAATCTTGTGGTTAGCAGTCCAGTGCTTATCCTACAGCACACCACACAAGGACTCCCAACAATAGATTGGTAAATATTAAAGCAGTAACTGGCTGGGGGTTCTTGGGCGCTCCAGAAGGAAGATAGGAGGCATGGCATAGTTACTTTCAGACCTGAATCACTATTCCACATGACAACCTGAAGCATCATGTAACCTCCCCTCAAGATCCAGTGCCTGGCTATTAACTAAAAGGTTATCACTGAGATTCTACTTATAGGATAAGGACCTGGTGATCTGCTCTTGTAGAGGGGACAGCCTAGAAACCCTAGGGAGCAGTCCTACTTTGTCACATGAGGACGCTGTGAGTCAATTATTTACCATTAACTGAAAAGTTGGTGGTCTGAATCCAGCCAGTGGTCTGGTAATCTATTTCCATGAGATCACGATCAGTGAAAACCCTGTGAAGTGCAGTTCTACTCTGGCATGTACATGGAATCACTAAGAGTCGGAATTGATTCAAAATTTTCAAGGTGAAGATCACAGGGAACAAATCGGATAATGTACAAGGGTTAAGGTCAAGTGAAAACCATATGTACATGGAGGCTTCTCTAAACAGAACTAGACTGCTGTTGTTAGTTGCTGTTGAGTTGTTCCCCACTCATGGGGACCCCAAGCACAATGAGGTCCTGGTCCCGTGCAATCCCTATGATTGACTATGGACTGGATTACCGTGATCCATGGAGTTTCACTGACTGATTTTCAGGAGATCTCCAGGCCTTTCTCCCTAGCTGGTTTCAGTCTGGAAGCTCCCCTGAAATATGTCCAGCATCATAGCCAGATGCAAGCCTCCACAGACAGATGTAGAGTGAGTCTGTGTGAAGTGCACTGGCTAGGAATAGAACCTAAGTCTCCCTCATGTAAGGCAAGAATTCTACCACTGAACAACTAATGCCTTCAAACTAGACTGTAACAAACCACAGATAAACTTTTCATGAATCGATCCATCCATGATCCACTATACTTGAAAAGAAAAGAAAGAAGTTAAAAAAATGACAGTGTTGCAAAGACCATTTCTGCCAATAAATAAAAAGGCTTTATATTTCTTAGGAACATACCCACAGCAGAATATTGCTTCTTCCAGTCTTCATCAAGTATCGATGAGCTTTTATGATTGCTCTTTATTTTTATCTTAACGTATATGTGTGTGCATTGTTGTTGTTGTTAGGTGCCATCAAGATGGATCCTACCCACAGTGACCCTCTGTGCAACAGAACAAACACTGCCAGGTCTTGCCCTATCCTCACAAATGTTGTTATGTTTGAGCCCACCGCTGCTGATGCTGTCAGTACATCTCATTGGGGGTCTTCCTCTTTTTTCTGTGACCCTCCACTTTACCAAACATGATGTCCTTCTCCAGAGACTGGTCTCTTCTAACAACAAACATATCTTAAGTATAAGAGACGAAGTCTCACCATCTTTACTTCTGAGGAGCATTCTGGTTGTACTCCTTCAAATACATGGGCATATATAGAAGACATTCTCACAATAGCCGCTGATTCCAGGTCAAAATAATTGCAGAACAACATCTGATCCCTGGCCTGAATCCCTATGCCATAATCCCTTCTCCACTGCACTGTTGATCGTTTATCCTCTCAGATTTCCCATATTCAATTCTCTAGCAAACTACTGGGAAATGTTTCCCTTGCAATCTCAATGAGATATCACCCTCAATTCTCTACCCATTCTTCCTCCTTTGGAATCATTACAGTCACCAGCCCACCATCGCTACCACTAACTAGGCTGACAAGATACGGCAAAGCCCACTTATGAATAAAAATGTGTTTATATGAGAAAAAGGCACATAATCAACTAACTGATAACCACAAAAATAACTCTGGGCATTACTGCTGACTGTTATCAGCTGCCTAGAAGGTAGGACCCAGTGAGGCTTCCTAGGTTACAGATATATTAAACAGTCTGAGTCTGGATCATAATATTTGGTACTATATCATGTTTGCCCTGGCCTCTAACTGGAAAGCCTGCCTAGAGGGTGTGTGCATAAACAAGAGACAACAGGAAGCCTCATGAGTCAGTCAAATGGAACAGTACTTGCAGCTAAAAAGAGAAAAAAGACTCATAATGTATATTTGGAACTCAGGGGTTCCCATATGGGAGTAGCAACAAGAATTTATTGGAGAAAAAATTCTGAGGGCAAAGGTTTAAACTTCTCTGTTTCTCCATAAGTATCTATCTACTTATAAATGATATAACATTTCTATAATTCAATAATTTCTCCAATAATGGTGGTGGTGGTGGTGGTGTGCCCTGGAGTTGGTTCCGACTCATAGCGACTCTGTACAGGGTTTCCAAGGCTGTAAGTCTTTACCAGAGCAGAATGCCTCATATCTTTCTCCCGTGGAATGTCTGATAGTTTCAAACTGCTAGATACTGGTTAATTTCCCATTATATACTAAGGCACTGTATTAGGTGTCTTTGTTGTTAAGTGTCAGTTGAGTTGGTTGTGACTCATAGCAACCCTTTATAGGGTTTCTAAGGAGTGGCTGGTGGGTGCCACAGGGGAGGTGATTCTTACATATACTTTGGAGGAAACGGTGGTCAGAGTTTCAGGGGGATTGAAGGAATCCTAGGCATTTCTCTTATGGAGAACAAGAAACCTTGGGCACAATTATGCATGTTGGGGGTGGGGCAAGGAACTGGTCAAATGGTACCCTAGGAATTGTTTTCTAGTGAAAAGAGAATGTTGTTTTTGTGTGCCATTGAGTTCATTCTGACTCATGGTGGCTCTGCATTACAGAATAAACTGCCCCATAGCGTTTTCTAGCTATACAGGGTCGACTCAACGGCACTTAACAACAACAATCTTTATGGGAACAGACTGCCAAGTCTTTTCCCCTTGTGTTGTGGCTGGTGGGTACAAACTGCCAACCTTTGAAGAGAAAGTACTCAAAA